ACACCAAGTTGAGCATGAGCCACTAATGCACCCTTGTGGCAAAGAAGGCCAACAGCATCCTGAGCTGCATTATGAAGAGTGGTGCCAGCAGGTTGAGGGATGTGATCCTTCCTCTCTGCTCAGCACTGGTGAGGCCACATCCTGGAGTGCTATGTCCAGTTCTGGGCTCCCCAATACAAGAGAGACATCAGCATACACGAGTGAGTCCACCAAAGAGCCAGGGACATGATTAAGGGATTGGGCAGCAAAGTAACATGAGCTGCAGGTCAGTCCTATACCCTCCTCCAAGTGTGGCAGCAATTTGGATGATGCCCACCTCCGGGCCTCTGTTGCTATTTAGTGTTTCCCTTTATGTATTTGACCTATCCTTATTCAGTAACTAGCATCCAGCTCTCGCCAAGACTGTGGAACAATAAAATGCTGATTACAGTAGAAACAAGATTTGTCTCATTAAATCTAACTCCACCACTTGCCTTTCTCATAAAGACACGTTTACTTTGCAGGGCTGAATAGAAAAGTCATAAGATGCCAAAGAATTCATTAGCTTTGGTCTTACCTCAGATTTATTGTAACTCAAGCTTTGGTCTTACCTCAGATTTATTGTAACTAAGAACCAGTAAAGACAGAGTTTTCTGAGAAAGAAGCCATAGAATAAAGTCATAGGTAAAACAGCAGTAACACTTTTCATGGAGGACAGCATGCCTAAGAGATTCAATGCAAATCAGTACTGAAAGCACCAAGGTGCTAATGAAAGTGCAGTCTTAGATTTTAGAGGGTAACAAATGTGCTTTCAGTGAGCCTTCCTACAATGCCAGCTGCATTAGCTGAAATGCCAGAATTAACCTAAACTATGGATTGCCCATATCCACATATCTTCTGTGAAGGAAATGGCATCTCACCAGTCTAATGTTCTTCAAATTTGTCAGCAAAATAACAGAAAATGGATGAAATCCAGAGCAAGAAGCTAAGAAGCCAGGTTATGATGTGGTTAGAATTAGATGATGCCAGGTATCAGAAGGCTGGTGAGAATACATGTGCAGCTGCTGCCACAGTGAGGGAGTCAAGGGGTGCAGGGATGTGTGCAAGTGTCTGCAGTTTGTTCTCAGTCTCTTTCCTCATATCCTAATGATTTCCTTTTGAATGCTGCCAGTTGTTTTACTCAAAACATGTCACATACTAGATGTGCATCTTGTGGGGGGATAGCAGCCCGAAATGCCATCTGAAAACTGTCAGCAGAACACAATAAAAAGTTGACCAAATCCAATTGTTCTTCCATAAGCAGACCTACAAACATCCTTGTGCTGCTCAGAGAATCAAGACAAGAATACACCAGCTTAATTAAATTTGAACTGAAGAGGGGGCAGATTGGGCTTTTCTGTCTGTAGAAAAGGAAGACGGAGCCCATTGCCTAAAACAGAATAATCCCAAGAGATTAGGAAGTTGTTTTTTTTTAACAGAAAAGGCTTCCCATAGGAAAGGGAAAATAAGCATGGTGGAAGCTGGCAGCTACTAGATATTTTTCCACAGTGAACACTTCATTTATATTCTGACAGGTGCCTCGGGGCAGGGAAGGGGTGAGGGGGAAGGTTCTTATTTATACAGTTTTAACAGGCTCCCTGAAAATAAATGCACTGGCAAGCACCCACCAGACCTGAGCTCCCCACCTGCAACATTTCATGTAAAAAGACAACAAATACTTGGTGATACTTCACCATAATTTATACAGGAGGCATTCTGACATGAACAATGCAAGAGGATATTTGCAGGCTCAGAAAGACGTGGTATATGTTCTGCAGACAAAAATGGATGGGAGCATGGTCTGCACGCAGTTCTGCGCTCACTGCAATTGCTCCACTCTCCGTCCTGCTGTATACATCAGCCAGGGGTGACTCCAGCGCCTTTCAGCAGGCAGGGATCCCTGCAGTGGGCATGCCTGCTGCCAGGGGCTGGGGGCCAGGCTTGAAGCCAGCCCAGGTGCTGTCCCTTCATAGCGCAGGAGGGAAGTCAGCAGTCAGAATGTTTACTGTTATAAAGCTCTGTTGTGAATGGACCCACTATCCCCAAGATGAAAGCTGCTCCTGCTATCACATATCTGAGGAAAAGCCAAGGGCTGCAGCCTGGTCCACAGGGGAAGATCCTGGTGATTGATATTCCATCATTACTTGTGAACATGTAAGAAGAGAGATTTCAGGGGCTGCAGACAAGAGTTCAATGTCTTTCTGTCAGCTTTCCCCAACTCTCTGCCTTTTTCCTTACCTGGGGAGAAGAGAAGGGGGAGAAGTGGAGCTTGGGGAGGTTTGAAAATGGGATCACTGAGTGAGCTCAAATCACATGGTGGAGAGGCGGCAGCTTTTTGTCTGAGTCTGATCTAAACTTGTATTATCGTTTAACTATGTTTTTGGAGCACAAGATCATGAGAATTACTGTTTGAAGGTGGAGGGGGAGTTTAACCAAAGTCTACAAGTCACCAGGACAGTGGGTATAACAAATGCAAAACTGCTATTCACCAAATCCCGTAGCACTAGAAGGAGGGGGCACTCCATGAAAATAGTGGTAGATAAGATTAAAATAGACAAAAGCAAGTACTTCTTTATGCAGCAGGCAGTGAAATTCTGGAACTCACTGCCATGGGAGGCTGCAGAGGCAGACACTAGCAAGAGATTCAAAATGAGAGGTAGATGCATTCCGTGACTGCAGGTTCACACACAGACACCAACAGGCCTGGGCAGGACCGTTCCTGCTAACGTCCCCAACATGACAACTCTGGATGCTGGGGGGCATGAGAAGAATGGAGCACCCAAAGTGGCCAAGTATAGGTGCTCTCCCTAACTAGCACCTCCTAATGCTGCTGTCTTTATTGGCAAGGCTTTTGACACTGTCTCCCATCACATCCTCCTAGGTAAGCTCAGGAAGTGTGGGCTAGACGAGTGGACGGTGAGGTGGCTTGAGAACTGGCTGGATGGCCGAGCTCAGAGGGTTGTGGTCGGTGGTGCAGAGTCTGCTTGGAGGCCTGTGGCTAGCGGTGTCCCCCAGGGCTCAGTCCTGGGTCCAGTCTTGTTCAATATATTCATCAATGACCTGGAGGAAGGGACAGAGTGCACCCTCAGCAAGTTTGCTGATGATACTAAACTGGGGGGAGAGGCTAACACACCAGAAGACTGTGCTGCCGTTCAGGGGGACCTGGACAGGCTGGAGAGCTGGGCCGAGAGGAACCTCCTGAAGTTCAACAAAGGCAAGTGCAAGGTCCTGCACCTAGGCAGGAATAATCCCATGCACCAGTACAGGCTGGGGGTTGACCTG